TATATATAATATACATATATAATATAAACTCTATATTTAAAATTTAAAATTTGTTTCCGATTTAAGGAAATTAAATTTGATTTAGAATCTAGCTCAACTCATAGCAATTTGATTAACTACAGTGAAGCTTACCTATGCCACTCGTATAATAATTGGATATTTTCTGATTACTTATGCACTGTCGTAATCAAATTTTTAGGTTCTACGAAAACGTTTATCAACATAGATAAACGAAGGAGCAAGTTTTACAGTATACTCTAGCTAAAACTGACTATACAAAAGTCCACCGCTCAATAGAATACTCACTTTTAACTATATTCTGCTCAAATTTACGGCTATTTAAACTTATACATAATTTAAATGAAAGGCCTTAGTTCCGATTGGCAAGGTCGTGCATAAAAAACTTGTTTCAATCTTAACTAATAAAACTGATATATTCTCCACTGTGTGCACTATACGAAATCCAATTACGTTAAATGATCTGATTTACGAGGCAATGAAAAGAGTTATTGATCTTTTAATGCAAAAGAACCTTTTCATACTTGTTCATCATGGGAGAAAAGTATATTGGTTTTATGTACGATCGTTGCAGAATGGAATACTTTATGGAATATTTCATAAAATAAATGATAGGATTATATATAAAATGTGTGATGAAAATATAATTTTATGACATAGTTTATGGAGTAGTTTTGGAACATCAATGGAAATTTTATTTTATTTTTGTTTTCTTCGAAAATGTTATTAAACATATTACTACATTTTTATTTAATGTATTTTTTTCTAAACTTTATTGATAACAATTATGTGCATAGCGATGGAATATTTATTTTAAAAAACCTTCTCAAATATAAAACTTATTTTAAAGAAAATCTGAAAGCCTAATATTTCATTTGTGTTTGAGCTAGGAGTACGAAGCTTTGCTCAGTATACTTGAACGCCTCTACAAATATAGCTACATACATATAAAATATATGGTTCGCTGCTTATAAGTAGAGCGGCTGAACGAGTATTATTCAGTTGATTGAGTTGACTGGAATGTTTTTACTTGTTGTAAATTGAGATCTGAAGCGTTTGCTGTCTCAACGGTCTAATAGACATCTACGATTAGATCTGTTCGAGCTCAGATGGTGATTATATACTACATAGGTATAAATATATACAGATTCATGAAAGTGGAGTCACGACTGTGAGGGCCATATATGATGCCAAGAACTTCGCTCCCTTTAGCTTTCTGACATTTCAAGGTCGAGTTTTGAAGT